AAGAAATATAGCCGGATTATTGCATGACAGGCCTTTTGTTCATTTATGTGAGGTGTATGTGTGAACAAATATTTGGAATCAGATGTTAATCTACCTCAAAAAAAATTAAAAAAAAAATCAAAATTTATGCTTGAGCATAATTTAACAGTCAAGACATGTCTACTTATTCTAGAAGGTCGTGGATCTCTACTTGTATATTCTTTACCTAATATTTTAAAAGAATGAAAAATGATTAATATCAAACCCTAAAACACCATAACTAAAATAGAAAAATTTGCAAGTTTGATGTGAAGTATCTTTCCTAATCAATGGTATAGAAATAATGAAGGGCATAGGTGTGAGCATGCTCCAATTCTCCAAATGTGTAAAAACAGCGACCATGGACCATGGTGGTCTACAATAATAATTCCATCATCTTTTTATCTAAATATAAAATAGTAAAAAAAAAAACAAGGAAAAAAAGAGGGGAAAAAGTCATGATTGTCCTTTTGGACCATGGGTAAGAAAGGAAACATAACATAAGCTTCCACTTCAAGCAAAAGGGTGAATGAAAACTTAGGAAATATGATTAATTATAAGGATTGGATAAAGTGATATGACATGCACCTRCTCCACACTTTTTTTTTTCTTTGATTCTGGATTTTTGGGGAATCATAAGATAAGGTAAATAAAATGGTGACATTCAAATTTTCACATGATTCCACCATTTCCAATTTGAATTTTCCACCCACCAATCCCACATGAAATGTGTAGTTACTTCTTGTTTCTCTTGCAAACTTGGTACTTGAATTTTATAAATTATAATGTTAACTTATTAATTTAAAATAAATTTAACAGTCTAATATATTTTCAGTATACCTTAACTGGTTCATACAATATTTATCTCTTTAAAAAGTTGGAGGTAAAAATAAAAAATAAAAAAGCTCATAATTTTCTTTAAAAATTTAAACTTTGAAACATTCTAATTTAATCATTGAAATTTACATAAGAATGATGGTAATCCTTGGCATTGATATTTTAGTTAAATCATTAATTTGGTCTCTATAATTGCAATTTAATTTTAATTTAGTATTTATAATTTGAATTTAGTTTGATTAGTTACTTATGATTTTAAAAGTTTTAATTTTGTCGGTAAAATGTCACCAATAATTTTTCCATATATAAGGTTGTGATTATATTGATTATGTGACATTTATATATTTGTATAGCGAATAAGTTGTGTTTTTATTTGGCTGACTAACATTGAAGGCCAAGTATAAAATAGAGGAAAATATGTAAATTTTTTATTGGATAAAAAGTAAGGACAATTTGTGAGGTCTAACTGTCTAAGCATTAGCCCACCATGGAAAACAAATTAAAACCGAAAAATTAATAGGAACCAAATTGTCACGAAGCCCAAATCATAGGAACTAAATTTTAACTTTTAAACTCGTAGAAATTAAATTAAAGTTAAAATAAAGCACCATAACTAAATTGAAACTTGGTAAAATCTGACGTACATCGTTTGTTAATCACCTAATTAATAGTTGGTTAAATGTTGGAATGTCTAAAAGTCTTGAGAGAAAATCAAAATCAAAATGTATCTAAACCAAAGTTATATTTTAATAGATTATTTGTTTTTTTATTATTTGACATCTTATGCTTGTATTTTTGGGGTGGCATGGTAAATTTGAGGGTTTTTTTNTTTTTTTTTTTTTTAAATATGAATTTGGAAGTGAAAGAGATTGGTGGCAACAATAGGCATAGCTGTCAAATTTCAACTAATCCTTGTATTTAAGGCTGACATCTTGATTTGAGAGTCCATAAAAAAGATTAGGTGACCTAATTCAAATCTACACATATAACAATTTTCTTTCATTTTTTTAGTATATGGGCATACCCCATCACCACCTATATCATTTCCCYCCCTTTTTTTAGATTCTAACCTAAAATCTACACTTTCTTTAATTTAAAAAAAAACATATTCTACCTTTTCCAAAAATACTTTTAAGAATTATGCTCTTAATTTTTAAATTGTAACTCAAAGTTCTTTAAAATTGAATCATAAARTAAGGAAATTATGAGTAAAGAAGTTAAAATAAATGAGAAATATATAGATACTTATCATACAACACCCATATTTTACTGACCATCATTAAATTTTGACAAATATGAGAGAAAAATGTAGCAAAAAAGATGTTTTTTCTTTCTGTCTTTCAAAAAATTAAAAAGCTATTAAAATTTTCTCGGTGATCAGCACAAAAATGAGTGAGGAAGGAAAAACATTCAAGCAAGGTAAATTGATTATCAAATAAGCTTTTTCGCATTTTAATTGTTTAAAATAATTGACATCTCTAGATGATCAATAGATCATGAGTTCGAATCCTCTGGTCCACTTGCCGTAAAATATATATATATACATACATACATACATACATACATACTTTTGAATAAAGATAAAAGGAAAGAAAGAAAGAAGATTTAGTCTCTCACTTTTTCTTTGTTTCTCTTTTTGGTAATTAACTATTTTCTCAAAAGTGCTTTTAAGCAAACATCTCTACATTTTCATTGTAGGCAAAGTTGGAATCTCTTTATTACATCCATGCTCCTTCTCAAGAAATTCAAAGATTAGGCCTTCTAATTTTTCCATCTATAGATCTAGAATAGTGTATATCTCTAATTAAACAAGTACATAATTTCCAAAGGTATGAATTTATAATCTCTTATATCACAACCCTACCCCAATACTACAAAATCAGAGGAAATTCAACTCTCATTTAATTATATATTTAATAGCATGTCGATCTCTTACTTAACAATTAATTTAATGACCATAATAAAAAGAGTTATGTAAAAGGGTAATTAACTCGTTTTAAACTTACACAAAACCCACCTATTATTTGTTTTTCATTTGAATTTGTCAACGTTTTTTAGTTATATCATATATGAAGGATTTGAAAAACAGGATCTCTTGCTTTGATACCATGCTCAAGATAAATATACTACTACTCAACCTAAAAGTTTAAGTTGATGGGTTCGATAAATTTAATTGGATATCACAACTACGTTAACCTTTAACCTACCTACCTTATCCAATTTTCTTATACACTATATACAATTTTATTTTTTGGCTACAGAACTGTCGGCGACGTATTGAAATTTCGTCATCACAAGGTACTATAGCCCTTCGCGACGAAAATTCAAATTTCGTAGCCAAATCTGAAAATTCTAGTAGCGAAAAGTATTAATATTCCATTTTAAAAAAACACTAAAAGAAAGGGAAAATCTAAATTAATATGATAAGAAACTCAGGACTTCTCCTTTTGTGAGGATAACCATAAACATAAAGAAATGTAAGAGGCATTAAAAACTTGTCTGATAATCTTGATTTGTGTGGACATGGCAGAGAAGAGAAGACATGCTATGCCATTGATATATATATATATATATATATATTTACTACCAAATTAAAAATGTTAAATATTATTAAATTAAAAAATATACACTCTGGAAGTGAAGCCACGACACTGCATCTCTCTCTCTGTGATCTTGAGATTTGAATTTTCCAATCCTTTGTTGTTCAAATTTTTAAAACCAAGATTGGTCAAAAAGTTGCAGAGAAAGGAGAGACTGTGTTTGTTCACCTACAACAAAATTTAATATTCAAACAAACCAATGTAGCATGTGGAAGAAAGGTGAGAGAGGCAGAATTTAAAGTAACAACCCATTCACAATCTTGCTTCCATATTTCTTCATTAATGTTAAAATTCCCTTACGATACATCTACATTTCGATGCGAATAATATTTGGTTGCTAATTGGAAAACAGCAATCTCGTACTGATCATTGTTATGTTATACATATATAGCTGTCAAAAAATTTTAATGGTTCCGACGGACCAATTGATAGTCAAGTATAATTCTTTTGATATTTTGTTTTGAATCGTACTTAAGTGTTTACCGGTCAACACTCATATTTTGATGATCATTATTGATTTRTTTTTTCTAATTTTCAAAAAGTTAAAAACTCTCTCTCTCTCTCATTTGGACAGTCATGTTACTCATGTCGGAAGTGACATGGCAGTGGACAATGGACATGGGTTGATGGATTGGTGGGGAACTTCCTTCATTACCCACCTATTTCAGTCAAATCCATGGTGATCTTTACATGTTAGACTCACGGTTTTGTTAAGTCCGAGTTCATCTCGATCGAGAATGATAGTTGATCGGTTGAGACTGACAGGACTCGAACCCGCAGCTTTCCCCTATGACATGATTGATTACCCATAAGATATCCCAAATGCACTCATTTGGGCAGATAGTCTATGTAAAACAACAGAAATACTACTATATATTATTATTTTTACGATTATTTCTTTGTTTTATAATTATAACTACTTTGAAAAACCATTATTTTAAAATTGAAAAAAAAGTTTATGTTTCAATTTCAACTACTTCAAAAACAGAATTATTTTTAACATGGACTTCAAATCACCTCTCCGAGGCAAAAGCAAAACAGCTGAGATCAGAGAAAATTATGGATAACTTTGATTTAAGATAAGAAAAAAAGTAGAAAGATGTGACTGGTTGCTGCTTCTTTAAGCTTTATGTAGGAGCAATGCCGTCTTGAACTCTCACTCTTAAGCCTTTCAGCCAATCTAATATTGCCATGTCATCCCATCCTCCACGTGGCTTTTGTCTTCTTCTCCTTCATCCGGCTTATCAGTTATCACACCTTATACAATAATACAGACTAAAGAGAAAATTCAAGAAATATGAAGCTTCCATTGATATACAGAGGGTTGGGTTGGGTGTATATACATGTTAGATTGTGACCATAGAAAGCTCAAAAGGAAAAAGGAAAAAGAAAGCTCCCCTCAACCTCTGATGGGCTAATTTTTCTCACCAGGGTGGTGGTTTGTTTGTTTCTGAACCAAAGTACTCAAAATTAGTCAAAATTTACACTTTTTTTCTTAAGCGCCTAAATCACAAAACTTCCCTTTCATTCTGTTTTGAACAGCTTTCACTGCAGCTACTCTAGCAGCATTGGCTGCTCTGTTTGCAGCCATTACCGCCTTGTTCACCTCCTCATCCACCTGCCCGATCTTGATCGCGTTCTCCGCCGTCTTTCTAGCAGCCTATCATGGTGTTTGTAAACTAAATTAGGATGAGAAATTCACAACTGAACTGCAGCTAAGAAATGAGGTTGGTTACCTGAACTGCTGCAAGGACTATGTCAGTAAGAGGGGGAAGAGGGTGCTTGAGACTGCCTGCATCCCATTCGCCGCATCGGCTCTCGCTGCTGCGAAAAGTGTACATCCCGAAACCTTGCTCCCGCCCTTCGTGCCACGATCCTTCGTAACAATGCCCGTTAGCAAAGTGATACACACCAAAACCATGAATTTTGTCCCCAAAATACTCCCCTGCATATCTATCTCCATTCCTGCACACCAGACCTAACATCAGATTCCTCCATTCTATAAAAATTGAGAGGTTGATTTTCTCTAGCATGGATTCTCATTCAATGTGCCCACAAGATCAATCAAATTATTGGTGACAATACAATAATGCTAATTACTAGCCATCGGAGGGATCCAAGAGACCCATCAATTCAGATATATCTCAGAAATATTCTTCAATTAAACAACCATTACCAGATCCAATCATTGGAGGGAAGTTTAGAGTCAGAATCAATGGCAAAGAAGAAACTATAGGGAACATAAGGATTATCCAAGGAACAGTGATTCATGTATGGGAAAACACAAAAAGGGGAAATACACCCACATTTAAGATCGCATTCTAAAACAATTAATGTCCAACACAAGCCCAAATGGCAAATCAACATCAAGTAAGGATAATGGCATATCAAATACATCATTGAAATCAAACATTAAAGACTAAAAAGAGCAGCAGTTCACCTAAAATGGTAACAGCCGAGGCCGTGCTTGGCGCCATACTTGAACTCGCCCACATAACAGCTCCCATCAGAGCAGGTCTGTATCCCGAGCCCATGGCTCTGCCCATTATACCACTCCCCTGTATAAGAATCCCCTGTGTAGAACCTATAAATCCCAAATCCATGCCTCAGAC